TATAAATCTGTTTCATATTTTATCAATAAATTTATAAATAATGCTAGATGAAGTGGAAATGTTATATATTATTATTATTATAACGTTTTATGAAGCTGTTTGCATAAATTATTTTAAAAACCTCTGTGATATAGAGCATTTAAATTAAAATTTAAATAAATTTACAGTTTATTGTTTTACTACTTAAATAATGTTTTACGTGTCTTATAACATTAAAATTTTAAAGACTTTTTTCTAGAAATAATAACAAAAAACGTATCTAGACTCTTCTTTGTTTGATATGTCTAACATTTATAAAATTTAACAGTAATAGAAATAGAAAAATCTATAATTCATAAACCATTTAGAAATAAATTTTATTCATTCAGACATGCAATCAAAATTTACTTAGTATTCTTCCTGTAAATTTTAGTTAAATTCGTTGTTTTAAAGTAAATAAGTAATTTTGCGCACATCTAGAAAATGATTAATAATTTCTTTCATTTAGTATATAATCATCATCAAATCAGAAAAAAATTATTTTATTAAATTATTAATTATTTCTGATGAAATCATCGAATCATAATTTCATTTTTTTAAAGTTTAATTCCATCTATTTTGTCTGATCCGAGTCTTTCATTTAAATAAATGTCTCGACTGCTACATATATAAATGGGCGAAGTAAATTTGTTAATAACAGCTTCAGACGAGAGTATAAAACAATTCTTTAAAAAGAAATTTAACATTTTTAGGCCATACAATTCGCTAGAAATGTTGCAAATTTTAGACGTGGGAAACGGGATTTTCTATTTTTAACCACCAAGTCGAAGCTGTCAACAAATGAGGGGAGTGTCAATCACAACTACCAACTTCTAACAGGAAATACAAAATGTACAAGTTTAAATCACGTCTTTTATCTTCTCCTAAATGTAACTAAAGTTGTCTATTTCTATTTTCTCTTTATTTATTTATTTTTCTTCGGACTTTAAGACGTTAAAATGTCAGTTTAAATATTGCTCAATATCTGAATTATTAATTAAGTTTCATTCGAAGATACTATCGAAAAGATATTTTTAATACGTAGCACGTATATAATATTTTTCCTTAAAATTAGTGCTATTATCATTTTCCTTGACATAAAATAAATTGTGATTTAACAAAATTTTTATTAAAATCCTTTCCTGGATTATCGAATAATATAAATATAAAATTAACTAATTAAAATTCTTTAAAAGATATAAAATAATACATAAACAGGATATAATAATTTATTTTTTCCCTACATTTAACTTCACTTAGAGAAACAAAAACGAATAAAATTGACAAAATATAAAATAATATTTTTAAAAATTTGATTATATAAAATCTTATCCAAAAATAAAACTGAAATCTTCGTATTTTATATTAATAAAAACATTATTTTTATTCAATTATCATAGGTTGACTTAACGTGATAATTTATGCAAAAAAAAAATTGTGTTTCCTCGTTTATAATTCTATAAGCCATTTCAATTTTAACATAGAAAATAGTCGGCCAATTACCGGAATACGCCCAATCCTTCCGCCATGCTTATTTAACATAATTTATACCGAAGAGAATTCCTCTTTTTAATTCTGTAATAAAAGTTCTTGGCGGAACTGATAGAAACATTCGCATTGTAATAAAATTCTTAATATCCCAACCTGTCTATCAACAATAATCGAACAATCACTCAATCTTTCCAATCTTTTCATTGTACTTATAAATATTAATAATCAAATAAAATAATGATAACTAATTAGCCTGTAATACTGACAACAGAATAACGTTAAAACTTTAAAAAACCGTAATAATTACTTCATGTTTAAAGACGTTTTGTATGGATTTTTACAGTAAAAAGTCATGTATAACTATTCTTCTAAATATCTCTCGATTCCACATCAGTATCTATATACCAAGCACTAAAGACCATAATAAAAAGTAATGCTTTTATCAAATAAAAATTGTGAAAAAAAATCATTCTTTCAATTTTTTTACGTCTGTCTCTTAACATTCTTTTATCTGTTTGTCCTACAATTTTTTCCTGTTTTTAACGATTGCTGCCCAAATATTGATAAGTATATCGATTTAACAATTAAAAGCCTAATTTAAAAATATCGCAAGAAATAATAAAAATAGAAACGTCCGTGAGAACATTTCCCAAACTAGCAGTGCTTATCAACTTTCAAATTACTACTGTAAAATAATATATATTCTTGTCAAAATTTCACAAAAAAAAAACCCTTGTTTAGAATTCTTCAGTCTGAAGCACTGAAGCGTGCAGAAGCCAACACCTGAACTTTGTGATACTATCACTTTTAAGACAAACGTCTAAATCTTTTAAATAACCTCACCTTTTTAAAATTCGTTCACCTGTAACCAACTGTCTGCAACAACACCTGGACGGCGTAAATCTCATGTTCCTATAGAACACTAATAAAAACTCGATATTTATTTCTCGCATGTTTAAATGAAACGTTCGGAGGATTTTATAACGCCGAAAATATCATTTTTAAATTTTAAAAGTGTTTGTGATAGTTGTAAAACATACAAATATAAAAAGAAATCTTAGTTACTTTACAACTTTGTACTTTTTTAATTTATTATAAGATGTTTAATAATTTTTTAAAAGTTCATAAAATAGCTATAAAAACATTTACTATATCAATAAAAATCCCAGAAACAGTAAAAAAATATATTATTTTTTTAAAAATTCTAAACGCATTCGATGCCAATAGACACAAACGTTTGGACTCGAAATTTTTAAATATTTCGTCATATTTTTATACANAGTTCATAAAATAGCTATAAAAACATTTACTATATCAATAAAAATCCCAGAAACAGTAAAAAAATATATTATTTTTTTAAAAATTCTAAACGCATTCGATGCCAATAGACACAAACGTTTGGACTCGAAATTTTTAAATATTTCGTCATATTTTTATACAAGGCGCATTAAACTTTTACAAAAATGTGATTGGCTATAAATAATCTTAAATATTCGGATATTTAAATGCGTTTGCCAGGCATTGTAACGCTTTTACAAAAATATTCGGGAAGTGCTCAACCATAAATGTCCTTTGGAACGTTCCCAAATCCATATATCACCGATTTAAACGAACTTTGATAAAGAATTTAGAAATATTTGGTAATATTTTATTTTGGGAACGTCAAAAAATGACTTAATCTTTCGAAATGTTATTTGTGTGAATAAATGTTTAGGAAAAATACAAAAACTATGGCAAAAACTACGTACACAGATGAATGAATTTGGACGTTAACTGCAGGATAATTAATATTTAAATGAAGTGTTTCGCATTATTTACAGCGATCAAACTATCTACTTTCGGGACTACCATCATCAGTTTGATAATCAACGGGATAACGAAACGTTACTAATGTAGGAAAACAAGATGAAGAGAGTCGTTTATAACCATGATCTAAAGTACGCATAATCTAAATGAATTATACCTCTAATCCGATTAAAGGGCAGTTATTCCGGTTAATTGATACCATTTTGCATTTATCATTCTCAGAGGTAAAATTTTCATGTTGGATACTCGTTTAATTCTTTCAACATTCCGTACTCAAACCAATAATTTATTATCTACCGGGAGAAATTTATTTTAAGTGAAGTCGATATGACTCCATCTTCCTACTCACTCGAGCTTTTTCCTACTTGATGACGTCATCGAAGAGGAACGTAGACGTGTCGACGATCCTTCCAATTCTCACGTATACTTTACACTAATTTTGCATTATCATCGCTGCACGTCAGTTACTTTATAGATATTAGGTCTAGGTAAGGGCGTGGTTGATTTATATCATCGTCTGGGCGCAGTCTGGGCTATTTAGCTGCATTATACACATACTGTTGTGTCTGCTTAACGTAATCTTTTATAATAAGCATTTTTATATAAATATTAATTCATTTTTTCCAAGTATTTCATTCTTATTACTTTTGAATTCTTCCATCCTTTCGAGCTGCATAAAGCTGCCGCATACTGTAAATTTGCCAAAATTTTCGACCCCAACCTAGTTATTTTATGTTTCTAGACACGCTAGCTTTACTCTAGATAATATAATGGCTCGTTTATAACTGAAAACTTTCTAGTAATTTAATAAAATATTTATACCTATTTACGCAGTCTGGTATATTATATAAAAATCTTAAAAATTCAAGAAAAATAGAAAAAGATCGTGAATAATTGATAAAATATGAGCATTGTTGAAGTCAGAAGGATACGTTGTATAAGATAATAGGAAAGTTCAGAGCTGCGCACGATGAAATAAAAATAATAAAAAATGTCCAAATGTACTGCAAGGCTTCTTTATGTCAACAATATAGATATAGTGTATATATATAGTTATTATATATATATATATATACACACACACACATATATTATTTTTTTAAAAATTCTAAACGCATTCGATGCCAANTATATATATATGTTTAGAGTTGTTATGTACAGTATTGAAGAAACGAAAGAAATGCGGAGAAAAGGAATTTGTTAAAATATAAAAGGAAGCTTAGGAAAAGGATTGAATCGATTTTATGCAAGTAAAAAAATAATATAAAAACCATTTCAATTTTTTAAACGGCTGATAAACTGGAAATAAATAAACAATTTTAATTCATCTGCATAGAATAAATACACGATGCGATTGTTATTGGATAAATTATAAATACCGTATTCATTAGGTCAACGTTGTTATGCATTTATGATTTTACTAATTATTTTCAGTCGGTAGAAATTAATTTTAAAGAAATGAGTCAGAATTTCGAAACTCATTTCTGAGTCTAGGTGACGTATCAGAAGAATTTGGGGATAACCATTTGGGGGTGGCTGCAGTCTGCTAGGCAGTCTGGCTTTCACGTTTGGTGTCGGACAATTCTGGCAGCTTCGTAAATACTAAAATATTTCGTACGACCGAAATATTCGCTATTTCTAGAAATAAATATCAAAAAGAGCACACTTAAAAAATTGATTCTTACCTCTTAACAATTTCTGTATTTATCTGTGTATGAGAGGCAGATATGCAGCTTTTTATACTGTGTAGTATACAGTTATGCACTTTTAACTTTTAAACTCCTTCCATGATAGGAGCTTGAGAGGGCCGAAAAGCGAGCGAGAGATAGACGGAACCTCCGGCCTGACGGAATACCGCAATGGGTGGAGTACTAGACAGCCAATAGCAGGAAGAATCGGTTACAGCGCCTCCTGTTGGAAATACGAAACATTTTTTCCAATTTCGACACTTTTTACCCCCAATATTTGTGTAAGAACATCGAGATCAACTGCCTGCACTTCCTGTAAGTATGCCTAAACTTAACAATCATTTTTATTTCATTTCTATTTGCTTCATCAAATTACTAAAATACTTCTTTTCAAAATATTGACGCGTGTCGGCTACAATTGGAAATCTTTAAATTCTTTTACCCATAACTAAAGTTTACTTTTTTTTTCTTTTATATTCTTCTGCACGATCACCTTCAGTTACGACGCTTGGGTTAGCATTTATTCCTAAAATATCATAGAACCAAATAAATATATTAAATTCTAAATATTATTTATAAAATTTATTTTGAGTTAAAACTTTTTTTTGTTTTGTTTATTTGATTCGGCACTGTCTTAAATATTCAGCTAGTGCAATCGTTCTTTTATAATTTAATGTATGGTCTATTCATTAGTACGAAGCTGCCACTTTTTAACTGAAACTGCGCATCACACCTTTCATATTTAGTGTAGGGATGCTCGATACGGTGTATCGTCTCTAGTGTTTTCTGTGGTAATCTCTCGGTGGGTAACACGATGCGTCACATTATGGCAATACAGAAATGTGTGCAAATTCCTCTATAGATCATGCTCCCTTCTGCGGAATGTGCCATTTGCTAAAACGGGTGAGCCCTGACAGAATTGCCTAATGTTATAGAATGGCGTTGGATCTTTCTACAATACGCTCATTAAAAGGTCAAAATTGCCATTTATTAAAAAAATATAAACTAAATAATTCATTCTTAAAAAACAATCGAAGTATTTTTTACACATCGAAAAGTACACTTTTAAATTCATAAAAGGGTTACTTAAATCAGAGTGCGTTTGTATAAAAATTTCAATAAGAATCAATATTTTTATCCTTCTTCTCTTAATCAGGTTTGACAAGTTAATATAAGTTATGAGAAATGGAAAAGCCAAACTTGGAGGGCATGAACAAGTTACTACTCATTAAACATTGTTAACTGTCTTCATAATTATGAATTTTAAGCAGTATTCAGTTATACATTTCTCGCGTCAAACTGGTACAAATGATGATAAATAACATATGGACTCGAATAAATAAATTTATTAAATTGGCTGCAAAAGTAACGCTTTCATTATTCTCGATTTCTTTAATAATAAAAAAGAGTGACAAATAGCGAAAGTGTTGACTCGCATCCTTTCTATCATCAATCTGCAAAGAAAACCCTTTTCGCATTTTGATATATAATCGCGTACAAAACATTAGCTTCAAACTTTATAAATTTAAATAGAAAATATCAATTTTTAACAACTTCATAACATCAGTTAATTCAATTTCATTTCCCATAAATTTAAATTTTAATAAAAATTAAAATAAAAAAAACAATTCTAATCATTTCTACAATAATATTAGCGAAATTTTATAGCAAAAGTTTTCAAATTTTTTCATCTTTCTTATAAAAATCTTTACAGCATGCATATACTCGATATGCGTTTTTATCGATCTTTTTCATCTATAAAATTAATATTTTACTTATAAAATTACAATAATGTATTTAATCAGTACATCATATGTAGTTATTACTGTCTGCTATAATAATAAATCAATCAGTCTCACATACATTAAACATATTATTACTATCATCGCGTCGATATCGACAATTTAATAATATATATAACAAGATATGTATTTTTAACATCAATTCTCCGGAAATTATCTATTTAGTTAAAATAAATCGGCCTTTGAGGAGGATTAAAATGTAAAAAAGTAATTTTTCATCTCTGTCTGAATGATTATATTTTATTTTCCTAGCGATCGAGAAAGAGAATAGAATATCTATCCACAATGACAAATGTCCTCATCTTCAATAATAATGTCTACTTTTCCGTCACAATAGCTAATGTATAAAAGCAGCTATGACCTGGTCATACTTTTCTTATTTATTGTGCCATTAAATAAGAATCGGCAAGCAATTTTTCTAGTAAAAAATTAATTTCGTACGGATTATTTTCAAAATTGTCTAATTCATTTCCGATGAAAAATTTGCAGCTTCAACAAGCACACAAATTACTCTATTGTGTCTAGAAATGAAAACAAACTTCTGGAAGGATATTCTTTTCCTTTTCCGCTAATCATCTCGCAATTTATTTTACGTAATCTCAACCTTGAAAGTAACGTCGGCAATGCTTATGAGCCTCGTCACTCAAAAGAGCGAACACTCCCCGTTTTTAAAGAATTACGTCGTGGTAGAGAATACTAAGAAGCAAAACAACCCTAAAGGTTTCGTCATCGTAGTAGATGAGTCACCGGAAACTATCCTGTCAAGATTAGGACAGTTTGTAGAGCATGAGAGGTCTCGACCACTTCTTCCTCTTTCGGGTTGGTTGGTCTAGAATAGAAATTGTCTCCAAACCTTTGTTGTTATTTGTCACCTCTCGAACGGATTACGATTATTTTTATGTATGCAATTATTTAGTGCAGAGCCCGTTTCGTACGGCTTATTTATAGATAACAGATTAGGTCGCGTCTAGGAAAAATAACCTTGAAGTGGGAGAACCGTTGACCCTAGGGAGTGGCTTCAATTCTACTTAATTAAATGGGACCCTACCCGAAATTTAGAAAGTTATCATGGGCGTGATACGTTAAGGCATTATACAGACAAACATAACAAAAATAGTAACATTACGCAGTCAGGCTGACTAAGTGGCATATCTAGTTTAGTAATCAGCACATTTTTTATAAAATCTGTTGAAAAAAGAAACAAATATATCCTACACATTGCATCATATAACAAATAGTTTTTACGTTAATTATATTTGAAATATATATAAAACAATTTTTGTATGTTTTCAAATGTCCTATTTTCCCTCTTATAGGAGATTTTTAGATATTGAGAAAACTTTCGATTCGATTGATCACGACATTCAGTTTTAATTCGAGAATAGAAATATCAGTTCAATTTCAAAGATGTTAACAGATAATAACTTCCTACAACAAACTGATTTAAAAACAATTCAAACTGTCGTCGGCAATTTAGATTAACTGTTCCAAATCACGCAATATCACGTAAGTGAATCAAATAGTGCGAGACAGTATTTCATCATGGCTTTTCTCCTAAGAAATTTCTTTACCTTTTATTATATTGATTTAATTTCGAATTTTGACTTTAGAAATCAACAACTTACAATTTTTATTATATTTTACAGAGATCACGCGCATTATCCATTAACGTCACACTCGAATGATAACTACGTTTTCCTTTTATTTATCGACAGTTATAAATTACTTGTGGATATATTTCTATAAAAATTTTGAATACGTCATTAGTTTTATTCATAAATTTATTAAAATTTTATCGTATTATTTATTATTCAGCAATAGTTTGTATCGGACTACTCTAACGTAACCGAAGTAAACTCTCTCCTTTTACACGAGAAGATCCCGCGGGATGTTGCTATGGCTACTGCATCGATTGCGCCAGTCGAGACGTGATGTCATCGAAATGGAGAAGAATTATTGGACGAAAATATTTTAAAATCAGGTAATTTATTTTAAACCACATTTAGATAAAATGTTGTAATTATTATTTCACGAATAACGAATGTCGTTAGTTTATCGAAACTTATCGATAATTCTCATCCAGCATTTTCGAGTGATCCATGTTTCAAAATGGCGCCTAGTATCGATTGTTCTTAACGAACTACGTTGTTATAATGGTTTCACGATTTTATTTAAGATTCGAAACTATTGTTTGTTCGTTCGTTTAGTCTCTTTGAAGATGGTTTTGGTATCCCAATTTGAAGATAAACTATTCCAAACATGAGATTAACGTTATTTTATGCGGTTCTATTTTCGTTGTTTGTTTAGAAATTGGTTGGCGAAGGAAGATGTAATCTGAAATCGTTCAAAAAGTTGTATTTAAGAAGATAAATGTTTTCCAACTACACGTTATATAAATCACTCGAGATAATATAGGCGGCAATTGTCTTCTAATCTACGCCCATGCCCATGCCATACCAAGTCAATCGGAGTTAATGAGGCACTTCGTGTCACAATGTGACAATCTAACAAACTAGTGACAGTGAAGAGCGCTGTTACAGAATTTTATTTTTAAACACGCCACTTCTGTGACAGAGACGTAAAAGAAACGATCTTCGTGTGTATTCCCAAGTTTATGTCAGTAGGAAAATAATTAGAAGAAAATATACAAATTATTCGACAACTAGAAAGCAAATTTTAATTATGCTAAAGTTGCAATTTCTTTAATAACTTTTCGGCAGATGGGGGGAGAGAAGATATCAAATTATTTTTAAATTTTCGAGTAGCATTTGCAAACCAAATTAGGTAGCCTAATCCCATCTTGGCGAAAGTTGATGTAAGCTAACGGCATAGTTAATTGGGTGACTAAGATCGTATAGGGAAAAACTCTCCATTCCAATCTGCGAAACCCACGCAGTCACGTCAGCCCAGTAGAGATAATGGGAATGAGAAATGATAAAACAGCTGCTAGTTTCAGATCTAACTAGTGTTTAAACTGATTTAGGCCTATATTTTTATACCTAACAATTCGACTTGATATACTTTAAATATTTAACAATTATAATTGAAAGATAAAGCTAGGAATTTTACTTATTTTATAAAAGAATTTAGCAGAATATTAATTATTTTAAGCTTATAATAAAAAATCTTAATTCTCGTTTAATGAGAAAAGAAGAAAAAAATGCAAGCCTACTTACTAGCAAAACTTATAGTGTTTATAGGAGTTTAAACAGCTTGATTTAATTCGGGAGAAATGCGACGCATATTTACGGATCAAAGATTAAAGTCAGACTGCAAATTAAATAAAATTTGAAAACTAGCTGTTTATATATATATATATGAAATATACATATATGCATAAAGAGAAAACAGGAAAGCGAAGTTATCATAAATACTGTTGGGAATGGCAACCGTCTTCTCAGATGTTGGTAATCGTGCGACGAACAAATGATGCGCACATTTCTTCATATAATATAGATCTTAGTAAAAATAGCGATAAACACAATAAAGGTACGTTTTCGAAAAACAATGCCATTATGAAATTTTGCTCAGTACATTCGACTGTAAATCAATCTAAAGTTCAAATGTTACTGATGCATTATTATCACTGTGAAAACTCATCTATCGTTCTCAGGACTAGCAGCATTATAAGCATTAATTTTCGAATTGTTTTGCTTCATATATAATTGAGAAAATTTTGGAAAGTAAAGCATTTAGTGATTCCACCTCGATGCTTATTTAGATCTTTAAAAAAAGAACTTTAATTATTCATAAAATACGGATTGATAACAGAATAAAATTATACATACTGGCCTTTTCTGCAAACAGATTTAGGGCAGTCGTGATTAATTAATAACATTATTTCTAATTAGGATAAATGATTATTAGTTTATAGTTTATTTTAAAAACCTAGTTTTTATAGTTATCAGTATACAATCGTCCCATCTATTCACTATTTATGTTGCATTATTTCTCATCATATTATCTAATATCATAAATTTATTTGGTTTCTTAATATCCATATGAATATGTGATGTATAATTCGTTGATATTGTATCCGAAGAACTCATAACTCTTTTAATACTCCTTTTGCTTAAACTTTTAAACTAGAAGTGACATGTTTCTGCACTATCACATTCTTTGGACTATATTTAAAAGCAATAAAAATACATTACACCACTTTGCCATGAAAGTAACATATTTACCATCTACAGTAGGCTATATAGGTCTATACCTCATGTACATTCATTGCCTATAATCTTAAGGGAAGACAAAATATAAACATTAATATTTCAAATATAATACAATTATCTGTAAAAAAATTACAACAGATTATATTATTTCACGATCATGTTTATGAGACAATTTATCTTGAAAGATACCTTATACCTAACTGTAAACATTTTTACCCATCAATCTTAGTTTTATTTTTGGAACTCGTTACCAAAATGTAGACAATTCTGACACAGAATATTCAGTATACAACAGTAAAACATCTACACAATATTAATATTTCTATTACAATTTTATTTTATCATACGAACCAATTAAATCATACAATATATAAGTTACCTTCTACCAATACCACTGACAGTGGACTCGATTTATCTATAGTCCGTCCTCATAAGTCATAAATTATAAACGAGCAATTATTTATTGTGACATCGTCACAACGCCGGGCTGCAATTTTTAATCGTATTTTTAAGTTATTTAATTTAAAATATATTCTCTCTGCCTCAAATTAGTACTGTAATATCTTGCCCCTGTACATCACACTTTCTTTTAACAATAGAATCGTGCCGGTCATCTAACTCCTTTCAGGGGAAATGTTTTGAATTGAAAAAAATCTGACTTCCGGTTTTCAACGGACATTGATTTACAGTTAATCGGAACCTCCTTCCCTACGCTTTCTACATTTGGTCTTGATTTTCATGTATCTAACACCATTTTCGAGATTAAGGAAAGACAGACAGATGGACAGACGGACAGGTGGACAACAATGGGAATTTATAGGTCTACAATTTTTTTCAAATTGCAGATCAATAAATCACTGTAAAAGTCATTACAGATAAAATAAATATCATCTTAAGATTGTAATAGTTGATATTACAACATTGGCAACTTACAGTCCTCCTATATTTTTCAACTCAATATCCTATAATATAACTTATTACATTTCAAGTATTAATAAAATAATATCTAAAACATTGCCGCTCATACTTTTATTACATCATCAAGCCATTTTGATATACATTATTATTATTACATTACTGTATTATTATTTTTTATTAATATAGGGGAGATCGGGGCAAGATCGGCATGTTAAGCTTTACTTAAATTTTGTGTAATAAATACTGCTGTAAACTGAAAAAAAAAGCTTTGCATATTGTCTATTGGAATGTTACCTTACTATAGAACTGGTTAAAATCAGTTTGGAAATAAAAATAATTAAAATAATTACAACTTTACAAGAAGAGAGAAATTGACGAAGTTGCCCCGGGTATAGGGGCAAGATCGGCAACTTCTCTCTTTTTGTAAAGTTGTAATTATTTTAATTATTTTTATTAAAGTTGCCCCTGGTATAGGGGCAACAGTAATGGGGCAAGATAGGCACGTATATAAAATTATGTTATTAACAATGTATAAGTTGGAATTCACTATTAAAACAAAGAAATACAAATCCAACACCCATTTAATATTATTACAACGAAATGCAAGTTCAAAGACATATATACATGAATAACAAATGCAAACATGTTTTCATTTATCATCTGTTTGATTTTTATCCTTTGCTTCTAATGTGGCTTTATGTTGCCGATCTTACCCCGCTAGTCATGATTTCGAAACATTAAGTACAACCCTGAGAACAGAATGCCAAGCCACGATCTGGCCACGTGAATAAGTTGAAGTTACATCCTTCTAACAGGAAAAGTAACTTTCGTTATCATGGAATTATAACAAAACCTGCCAATTCAATATAAATGGAAAAAAAATATTATATGGAATTGAACGAAAATGAAAATTTGCTTGATAATTCAACTACGCTTGTTGGAGAACAATAAAAACACTACACTCAACAAGCCACCAATAAAACTCAACTGCCTAACCTATAACCAAAGTCTCCTTTTAATTTGTTTTTTAAAAAAAAGCGCTTGACAAACTTGCCCCGCTTGCCGAAGTTGCCCCGATCTCCCTTAAATATTTTTCCACATTTTACTTTTCATGATTTTTTCTTCTTTACTTATAATTTTAATTGATTGATCCTCACTTATATATAATTAATTACAGTATTGTTTGATACTACAGTTTATTTACATATAGTGTGATAGAAGGTAGCTTAAAATTTGTACGATTCAATTAGTTCATAGTGTGAAATAAAATTTAATTAAAATATTATTATTATATAGATGTTATACTATTGTATATAGAAGATTTTATGTCAGAATTGTCTATATTTTGACAACGAGTTCTAAAATAAAGTATACGACTGATGAGAAATATGATTGTGAGTGAAACATGCTTACAGTTAGTTACAAGATACCTTTCAAGATTTACGTGATAGTGAAATAATATGGTCTGTTGTAATACTTTACAAATAATTGTATTTTATTTGAAATATTTTGTTTGTATTCCCTTAAGTTAAGATTATCGGTAATGAATGTCTTCTAATATGTATATATACCTTGTATATTTGGTTTAGTAGTATGTTACTTTAGTACTTGGCAAATTTGTGTAATATATTGCACTTTTATTGCTTTTAAATATAGTCTAAAGAGAGCGATAATACTGAATCGTGTCACTTCTAGTTTAAAAGCTGTATAAGAAGTCTCAAAAGACTTGTGAATTATTTGGATATGATATCAAAGAATTGCACACTACGAATTTGTGGATTATATAAAAATAAATAAATTATATACAGCCAGTGTTCGTTAACTTTACTACAAATATCTTATGTTAATTAGTGATATGATAAAATAATTTTACTACTTTATCCGAAGGATA